GTATGTGGACAGGGTCGAGGGGGTACGGCGTTTCGAGAACGCCGTACCCCTTCCGGTTCGCGGTGTGGGTGGGAGTGGGGGTACGGCATTCTCGGAACGCCGTACCCCCGCTCCTTTTGCCTCACGGTTACCGAAGAGGGTACGGCGTTTTCAAAACGCCGTACCCCCTCGGCCCTGCATGTGAACAGGGTCGAGGGGGTACGGCGTTTCGAAAACGCCGTAACCCCTCCGGTTCTCGGTGGGGGAGGGAGCGGGGGTACGTCGTTCTCGAAATGCAGTAACCCCGCTCCTTTCGCCTCATGGTTACCGAAGGGGAAACGGCGTTTTCAAAACGCCGTACCCCCTCGGCCCTGCATGTGAACAGGGTCGAGGGGGTACGGCTTTTCGAAAACGCTGTACCCCCTCCGGTTCTCGGTGGGGGAGGGAGCGGGGGTACATCGTTCTCGAAACGCCATACCCCCACTCCTTTCGCCTCACGGTTACCGAGGGGGTACGGCGTTTTCAAAAACGCCATACCCCCTCGGCCCTGCATGTGAACAGGGTCGAGGGGGTACGGCATTTTGAAAACGCCGTACCCCCTCCGGTTCTCGGTGGGGGAGGGAGCGGGGGTACGGCGTTCTCGAAACGCCGTACCCCCGCTCCTTTCGCCTCCCGGCTACCAAAGGGGGTACGGCGTTCTCAAAACGCCGTACCCTCTTGGCCCCGTATGTGAGCAGGGTCGAGGGGGTACGGCGTTTCGAAAACGCCGTACCCCCTCCGGATCTCGGTGGGGGAGGGAGCAACCACCGCCGAGAACCGGAGGGGGTACGGCGTTTTTAAAACGCCGTATCCCCTCGGGCCTGTTCGTGGACAGGGCCGAGGGGGGTACGGCGTTTTGCAAATGTCGTACCCCCTTCGGTTGCGGGGAAGAGAAAGGAGCAGGGGTGCTTGGTTTTGAGAACGCCGTTCCCCGGCCTCGTAGGTGGACACGGCCCGACGGGGTGCGGCGTTTCGAGAGTGTTGTACCATAACCTGAGGAGATACGGCGTTTTCGGATTGCCCCTCCCCCCCCCCCTCTCTTCCCCCAAAGGACCCCGTATGTGGACAGTGCAGCGCCCCTCTTCCAATTGTCTAAATGGGTATAAGGTGTATGTCATGCGACGCTCGAATGTGTCGGCGAATAACGCGAGGCGATAGTGGAAGGTTTGAAATCTGAATGCGATCCGTTCCTTTGTTTGGAATGTGCCTACCATCAGGAGGAGCATCTGCTGTCCCAGAAAAGAGAGTCTATAACACCTGCACAATCTATAGAGATAGGGAATGGGTCCTTGATTGGGTGGGGGGGCTACATGAAGCGGGATTTGGGGCCGCGGTGTTTCTGAAGAACGCCACGGGTGACGACTGGTTCTGTGTTGGAGGCATTATTAAATCCGAGGATGAGAGGATGGAAAGGCACAGACGGAAGTTCAGGAGGTTTTTCCTAACAACGGTGTTCGACGAACAAGGAGTAGTCCATGCGAAGGCCGACCATAAAGTCAGCCTTGATTACAATCTGTTCAAGGGGTACGACGCTAAGGCGATTACCATGAAAGCCTTCGATGTGTCCCCGAAAGAAGACGGGAATGTGTTGACAATGCTTGGCCCCGTGAAATTCCTCGCCAAAACGAATGGCTACAAGAGATCCGGAAACAGTCCCACGGGTAGACGCCGGGCATTGTATGTCCCCGACTTTCGTGTCTTTTGACACGCCGGACGAGGATCTCCCCGGTATAGCAACGACAGAGAGACAGAGGACACCACATTCTTTTCCAATGCAGCAAACGTCAGCGAGTGCAAGCAGGCGCCGCAACAAACAGAGCCAGCCACATCGTCCGTCAGGCGAAGAGGAACGTGGTCCTCCTGTGGGTTCGTCCCACCGGATGGAATGTGCTGGTCCGTCTCAGCCGTCCGGCCGACAAGACCAAGGCACCCCTCTCATCACATACAGAAGGAAGGCCTTGTCAACTGGTCCGTCTGCTACCCGCCAGAAGGACGATGGTGGTGCGTCCAGGAAGGCGGCGCTACGGGAGATAAGCGAAGGATCGGACGCCGAAACGGAGGACAATCCTAGGATTTCTAATGGTCGACATCAACAGGGTAATCATGCAGTCGACGATGAGGAATGTGGTGTCGACGAGGACGATGTCGAAGAGGATAAAAGCGATAGGGAGAGAGAGAGAGAGGATCGTGAGGAGTCTATGCAGGACAGCGAGGGTGAGGAGTCTCGAGAGTACTATGAGGAGGACTACAGGGCCGATGGGGAAAACGATGATGCATATGCTGTCGATCATGACGGTGGACGGCAAGAACGGTCGGCTGATGTGGACGTCGACGACGCAAGAGGAGAGCGGTCAGAGGCCAGTGTTTAGAAAAGAAAGCGTCAATCTTCAACAAGTCCATCGGCGGCGGCGGATAAGCGCGCTGCGAAGAAAATCACTGTCGCTGCGTCTAGACAGGTGCTCAAAGCTTCTCAGGAGGCGGTCGCTGAAAGCGTGAAGAAACGAAAAGGGTCCGCGTCAACCAGGACGACGAAAGGGGAGAAACGTCCACCGAAAAGAAAGCAGATGGTTGATGAGGGTGACTCTGGAGAGGATGCCGAGGGGGTTCCTCCAAGAGTTGTGTCGGAACAGTCACAACCTTCCGCTAGCACCCATGTTGAAGCCATCGACACAACAAGGTGCTTCTTTTTGGAGTTCGATGAATATGGGTTCGCAAAGAAGAAACGGGAACACATTCAAGTGGACGTCACAAAGATCTTGCCAATCCCTGAAGGTGACATCCTCTTCAACCATAGGACGTTGGACGAAACGTTGGTGCAGTCCATATATGATGCGATCCATAATGCGGCCAAGGATACCAACGGGAGGTGGGATTTCACGACTTTTATCCTGGCTCCCATTGTGCCCAACAGGGACGGGTCTCAAGGCAGACGGATCACACCGGAGCAATTCGACGTCGAACTAGCTCATACGTACAACTGGTATGTTGTTGCTGGCCAACACACGGCTGAGGCAATTAACAGACTCATTCAAGACAAGTCGCCGGCCGAGAAAGTGTATGGCTTGAGGTCATACTCTCACGTACGTGTTGTCTACTTTGACGATGACACAAAGAGAGGATATCCGTACGTCTCGACGTTCGACAACACGAGGGAGGAGCGTTCCATCCCAAGATCGTTTTCGTCATCTGTGCGCCAAATCAGAACATTTTGGGATAAGAGGAATGACCGCATCCGTCCGCCAGGCACCGTGTCTCCCAATGACGTCGAGGGGATGAAACGGAAAAAGAAATGGGAAGCGTTCATGAACGCCGCCTGCAAAATGACACCTGATTCCGGTCTCATGATCTCGTCCCTGGAGAACGACTACTGCAAGGAATGGACGAATAAGCTACGCGGCTACATGAATCTTGCGCAGTGCGGAGATACGGTGTGGCCACTGGTACTGAGATTCTTCGACATGTACGAGAAGGGGTTATTGCCACGAGGCGACGGTGTGAGATACATCGACCTGTCGGGGAAAGTGGAAGGGAGGTTGCCTGGACAATACTTCCTCAAGGATAACTCCGGCAGAAAAGTTCTGTTCCACTGCATCAAGCGCAGAAAGGGGTCACCAGGAGCAACGGTGTCTATACTTGACTTGACGCCCACCACATGATGCGTGGTGATGTCATCGTGATATCACGTTCGGTACCTCGTGGTAGATGCAACATGGCGGACCTGGTGAAATATACCTGGCGTGAAAGATATATGGTCCGTATGTTCAATTACATATTGTTCAAGGCTGAGAGAAGGTGTAAAGAAGAGTGGAACGCTGACTTTTTCATCGGTTATACGACCATCTTGGAGAGGTACAGCAAAAACGGCTTGACGGACGAGAAATAGACCGGGGAACGCGACCACATCCCTGACGACAAGGCGAGGAAGGTGCCGAGGCGTTTGGGCGGCCCTGATGAGATTCATGGCGAGAACGGTGCGGGGCTGGAGGCAACCGAAGGCATGTATAAGGAAACCCCGTTCCACCTCAAGTGTTTCATATACGAGGCGATCGACTGCTTGGACGACCTGAGAGCGGAGATTAATCGGATATCCTCCAGTGCTCGTCACATCTTTTGGGAAGCGGGGAAGAGGATTACCACGATCCTGCTATTTGAAATCGAACCGAAGGGAGTGCTCACCGACAACGAGGAGGTTGTTGGTACGACGAGGGGGATGAAGATACGGGCAACTATTCTTGATATGTCAACATCACCGAAATGTGTTCCGTGGGATGAAGACGCATTTTCCAAACTCTACGCTTTCCTCATGACATGCTGTGGCGAAAACTGGGCCTTGATCATTTTCGCGTCGATGAAACACCGGAAACAGGTGATGCAGAGCGTGTACAGCTGGGATGATGTTGAGGTGCTCAAAGGGTCATGGTACAAACACTACACACCTTGGACAACCTTGAACAAGTACGGCAACATTGCAGTTCGGTACACTGACATGATGGCTATTGTCCTCCACGCCGAGAGCGGTAATTTGGACAATATAACGGTTGCGCCGAAAATGCGAGTCGAGTTGACAACTTTGAACGTGGAAGAGGGTGAATTTGTGAGGTTCTCAGGGGAGTGTATCGGCGTGGAGGGCGACACTAACGCGGTTTATTCGTGGATGGAACGAGAGCCGGCACGTCTCCAAAAACTATGCAGCTCGTTCATCAGGGAGGACGATGGCGTGCTGCTGTTGGGCAGGGCGCATGCGGGACTGATTTGGGAACTCGCTCACGTCGGACACCACGTGTTCGCGTGTGACGACGCGACAAAAGAGCTCAAATACGTTTCCAAGTTTTTGGAGTTTTATGTGAAGGATCCGAGAAACAAATGCAGGTTCGAAAAGCCCCAAGTCGAGCACCGCAAGGACCGGGACATATACTATAAACTCGGCAGAAAAAGAGAGAAAGTGTGGGCTTACTTGTTCGGTGACGCTCCACAGTCGGCAGTTGATAACGACTATGTCATCAAGAAAAGCGAACTGGAGATAGCAATAAACGAGTACCACGGATTGCATATGGGTGATTTCCACATGTTCGTCGCATGTTGTGAGCATTTGTATTTCAATATGAAGAAAAGAGCACTCACAAGCAGGGACTATGCAGACTTGGCACGTAAAACCGGCAACTTCAACAACATCGATTGCGACGAAGACACGGCTGACTCCGACGTGGACGTTCCGTCGCGGGCGGCACAAGGTGCGGCGGAGGGAGCACGTGCCGAGAAGCCGCAAGGGAGCACCAACGCAGATGCGGAGAAGGCGAGGTCGGGTTTGGGAGCGACACGTGCGAGTGAGGGAAATGTGGAACATAGACTAAATGCAAGGGGAGAACAGGATGGTGTACCGACAAACCCGGTGGGTGCAAGTGAGGGAATTGTAAACTCACAGGGCAAGACAGCGGAAGAAAAGAATGAGTGTGGAATGACCCCGCCGATAGTTGGACCATCATCGACACATGCACCACAGGCCGAGCAGCACACATTCACGTTGATGGACATAGATGAAGAAGAAAACATGGACATGACAGCACTCATGCCGAAGCTCGTGCCACGAAAACCGTTACCTCAAGGCTTTTCTCAAGACCCTTCAGTGCCATACTTGCTGCAAGACAAGTACAAGGAGTCATCGGAGGAGGATTGGGGTAATCACATTCTCTGGCATGAGGGCGTGTTCGAACCGTGTGTGTTTGCAGGCAAGTGGCACATGGCTGTGAAGACAAGAGACCGCGGGTGGGTCGCGAAGGAAAGAAAGGACGTTGCGATATGGCACAGCGTGACGGAAACACAACTTTTTCGACGAGTTTTACAAGAAAATGTCGGCGCAAGCGAGGTGGCAGTAGCGGCAAAGGCGAAAGGTTTATTTGAGCATTTGCGTGCGAACAAACAACTAGAATTCAGCACAAAGTTCTACGACCTTGCATCAAGTGTGTCGTACGGCTCCATCGATTGGAAAATCAACCAGGCGTCAGCAGTACAAAGAATCGATAGCATCACATCTCTGAAGACTCAAGACGTTATCGCGTCTAACATGATCGTCGCGTTGGCCAGAGGGGAAGCAGCCTGCGAAATGGACACACGTGAGAACGCAGGTCACATGCATATAGAACAGTTGCGAGCATGTCTTCAACAAACCACACAGAGAAGCACAATGGGGGATTCCACCATGATACGCAAGGACGGCGACGACATGAAGTCGGGCACAATGTCAGAGCAGCCAATGCGCGGGGTCAACGATGGGGCAACAATCGTTGGATCATTCGGGTCTCTTGTGACGACAATGACAGCGAGGCAAGGCGTATTTGAGATGATGGAGACCGATGCTAGCGAGGATGATGAGAGCCAGACGGTGAAGGTGGCGCAAGAGGAGGTTGGAGCAACAACAGACGAGACGAAGAAAGGTGAGGGATCGCACGAACACATTTCCATAATAGATATGATATCGGAGAGTACGCGCGAGGATATGATCCAAGATAACGACCAGAAAGATGACCACGCTGCACCACAAGTAGAAGGTGGCGACGAAGACGACGCGCAACGACCGAGACGGTCAACGCGAGCAGTAATTACGAAAACTGTGTTTGATGCGTAGGGAAGGCTTAGACGGGCATGGGCGTTTACACGTTTCTGGTTATATCGGTGTGTCGCCCCAAATAATAATGCGATATTCACCCGGTCCTCGCAGGGAGTGTCTCCACATTTCTGGTTATATTGATAGGTTGTCGCAAGGTACTATTGATAGGTTGTCGCTAGGTTATATTGATTTTGTTGTGTTAATAGAAGTGTTATTGTGACATTGCAAATCTCAAAATTGCAGTGCCGATAATACACGATGCCCCATCTCGACACGCAGGTATATGTAAGTGTGTGTGTGTGTGTGTGTGTGTGTGTGTGTGTGTGTGTGTGTGTGTGTGTGTGTGTGTGTGTGTGTACGTATGTGTGTGTGTGTGTGTGTGTGTGTATGTGTGTGTGCAAGTAGGCGGAGGTGGACTCATCAGCATCGTAAGGTTCCCTATGTGGATTAAATTGTGTGCGCGTGCTTGGTACATTTGTATAATAAAGCCATGTGAAAACACACTGTATGGGGCACTTTGTCTGCCATGTGTCAATGACACCCCTAATTCCATATAACTTGTTATGCCATCTTCTCGCGTGCTGCGAATGGTCGTCTTAACCTAAATCCCCACGAATTTGAAAAAAGGAAACCAGATCAACGAAATGAAAAAAAAAAAAAGAACAACTTGAAAATATGCGAAACAGCAACGCCGGAGTAGTAAAATTAAATTCAAAATATTGTCAAAAGTAGCTGCCAAGAACAGTAAATATTGCCAAGATGGAAGCACGGTTACCGTAAACATCCATAAATCGCGACAAGTATCATTAATAATTTTGCATTAAAAAAAAAACACGAAAATTGGCACATATTGTAGTTGTGTTATGCGGCATATTACAAGGAAGATGGAGGTCGGGGTGCTCATGTCAACTCGCTATAGCATCCTCTTCGTAGGATTTAGCAAATGGAATTTTCTCCACCGTTTCGAGCATGCAAATATGGCAGGCCCCAATATCGATAGCTCACGCTGGCGCATAATGCATTGTCATGTGCAGAAAGGAGAAACCTAGAAGAAGTACCAAGATGGAAACAGGGATGGATGATCCGCTTAGCAACGGATAAGTTATCGGAGAAGGAGATGGTCACGGTGCTACATTTACGAGATTCAGTGCAATCGAAGAATCGAACTGTCTGGACATCCACTTACAACGGGACAACAAAAGAAGAACTAACACTAACCGGGCATGATTTGAGCTTGATATTGTTTCAAGGCAATTGGTTGAACACCGATATAGTTAACTTTTATTTGAACCTCGTTAGGCTTCACAACATGTGTCACATAAGTCATCGCGAGTGTGATAATGAACAAGACGAAACCGTAGTAGAAGGAAAAGGACGCATCCCGATAACAACAATTTTTAGCTCCTTCTTCTTTGCGAAATTGTTCGACGACGACATGCAATATCAATATAGCGCAGTGCAGAAGTGGATGAAAGATATCGATGTGGGTGACATTGACATAATAATAACTCCATTCCATATCCGGATGTCCAACCATTGGACACTAGTGATAGCAGACTTAAGGCGCCAGAAAATTGAGTACTACGACTCGCTTACGCCTGACAAAGAATTGGCAAGGAAAGTGATAGGTGGTTTCGCAATATTCTTGTTCGAAAGATCGGTTGAACAGGGTAAGGTGGTCGATACAAAAGATTTTAACCATATATGGAATGTATCAGGCATTCCTAGGCAGCGCGGCGTCAACGAGTGCGGTGTGTTTATGCTAACATATGTATCACTGTTGGCAAGAGGATTTCTCCCGCCGTTCAACTTCTCTTTTGACGACATCCACAATATAAGGGGGCGGATCGCTTTAGATGTACTTGTCACACCGAACTATGAGTTACTTGTGCAACAAAGGACATTTGATGGACGACATTATCAAAGCAAAACATTTGTTATTTTTTTTTTTTGCACATGTAAAGAGTTCATTGACTCTGTTGGATAGACACCGTTACTGTGTTACTTCAGATGACCTCCTACCCCTTACCCCTTACCCCTTACCCATATTACCTCATACCCCTTACCCCTTACACCATACCCCTTACCCCTTACCCCTTACCCCTTTAACCCCGACCCCTGACCCTATACCCATAAAAGACTTCATAAATTACATACAAAAATCGAAAAAAAATGGACTTTCAATTTCGTGCAAAAAATAAAAAATGTTCGTTTTGACGAAATCATAGTTCATGGAAGAAGTCGTAGCGCAATGTGCTCTTAGCATACTTTGATGAGCTTCTGAAAAGTCTACTAATTGGGGCAGGGCAGGCAAGAGTAGGGGGGGGGTGGTCAGGGGAAGGGGAGACAGAGGGGGGTAGGGAGGGCTGTCAGAGCAGAGGAGAGACCGAAGAAGAGATTGAGAAGGAGGTAGGTGGAGTAGGCAAGTGCATTGCTCGTCTTTCCATAAACTTTAATACTTGTTTTGTGTGAATTCGCCGTTAGTATCCTTGGCGCCCATTTGCGTCCTTGGCCTCGGCCGCGTTTGCACAGATTATGCAGGAGGTAAGCGGAGGCTGGCATCGGCTAGACAACAGCAGTCTTCTTTTTGTGTGTGTGTGTTTGTCTTTTCTTTTTGTGTTGTGTGTCATCCTTGTGCAGGGCCATGCTAATCTACTCTGGATAGAGGCCATTTTAACGGAGGTCTCCCCCAACCTGAAATCGACTGAACCAAAGCACTGATGTGCACCTTTGTGAGGTTGTCTTACAGAGCCAGTTTGTGAAATGAGTGTTTCCTGTGATATCAGCTGTCTTCTTTTTGTGTGTTTCTCTTTTGGGGAAACTGCTCCTGGGTCACACTTTAAGTTCAAAACGGCCAAAAAAACACTTAATGGTAACATCCTCGTCGTCCAAGTTCAAAACGACCAAAAAAACACTTAATGGCAACATCCTCGTCTTCCAAGTTCAAATCGGCAAAAAAAACATCACTTTTTTTTTTTTTCCCTTTTTTTTATATTCCGTCGTATTGTCGCGCCGTGTCGCACCGCGGCTGGAACGGGAAAAAAAA